GGGTGAACTGTTTTTACACATTTGCAGATTACTTCATGTGAATTGTGGGTCATGTTACATTTGTAACTTCCTTTTTACACATTTGTGGAATTTTGTCCAATGTGTACTGCGGAGATCTGTAAATAAACATATACACAAATATCTCACAACCTAAAACATGTACTTTTGCTATGTACACTTGTACAGAAAGGTTTAGATGTAGTAGAGTCCAGTGGGCCAGCAGAAGTAGCTCAGAAAGCAGCGCTGCAGGCTGGCAGTCCAGTAGCAGCTCGGACAGGAGGAGGCCAGGTGCTGCTGAGAAAATGGGGAAACAGAGAGAGAAAGGCTCAGTGATTTATCTACGAAATCCTCTTCAGCCAATCCCGTAATCATACAACAGAAACACAGTACAGTGACATCCAGTGTTGGGCAAGTTACTCAGAAATTGTAATATATTAATAGTTACTTATTACTCCTTAAAGAAGTAATATTACTTTACTTATTACTGGGTGATAAAAGTAACTAGTTACTTTACTATATTACTTTCCAGTGTTTCCCACAGAATGGGGGGGGGGGGGGGGGGTATTCTAACTTTGGACAGATTTGTGCAGTGGTTTTCACGAGAGAGAGAGAGGGAGGGAGGGAGGAGGTGCTGCACTAATATATGCTCCTCAATACAGCTCCTCAATTAAAAATGATTTTAAATAGCCTACACCTAGTAAAATAATTAGAAAATCAATATGTGGTGGTCTGCCTTGATAATTATCCAAATTATAGGCTAATTATGGGAAACGCTGCTTACACTACCACCCCCCTTCACCCCCAAACAAAGCAGCCTCTCAAGACTTTTTAACTAACATCATATGAATAACAGAAGCAAGGGTAGACCTATGGTTTCAAGCATATAGTCTAGGCCTATCATTTCTTAACGCCACTGGCTGAAAAAATATATATAAAGCAATTAAATCCCGACTTTTAAACAGCTGTTTTTCTGCACATGTAGCCTGTTTATAAGAGCAGTATTCAGTAGATACAAAACGTTACGTTAAACATCAGTGACAGCATCTGCAGGAGTTTCTTTCTGTAAGTTTCATGTGGCTGTGCTGCTTCAGCAGATGCTTCAATAAATCAGATGTAGAAATGTTTGCGGTTGAAAGCTTTTGAGATTAATAGACGACTATGTTCTTTGCATGTTAGACTGTGACACAAAAATGTCAGAAGCTACTTCCAGCTGTGGAAAGAACGCCTCTCTCCCTCGTTGTCCAACATTGGACTTGAACAACAAAGTCCGGTCCCGCTGAGCGGAATTTACGTCAAGTAACAAGTAACGCAGCGGTACTTGCCTTAGTAACTAGTAATAATATTACTGTTTTAGAAAAGTAATTAGTTACACTACTAGTTACTGGGGAAAGTAATATTACAGCAACGTTACTGCCCAACACTGGTGACATCATGGTTTACTGTCACTAAGATAACGATCATTCTGCACTGATCTGTCAAACTGTCCTAGCCTACTGATTTTATCACTATATACCAAATGTTAACTGGTCACCGGACTGCGGTAAATGGAGGCTATATAAGAGACTGACATGCTAACTCCAGTTGTAGAGGGAATAACCAATTGTTGTGAAAATCATAAAATCTCTCCAGGTGAACTAAATGATAAAATATGAGCTTGTTAGTGTAACGTGGGCTAACGTTACACAGCTAACTCACCACAGGAGACACAAAGTTAGCAAACTGCACAGCAGACTTTCCTTGAGAGGACAAGGAACCCGATCCTGAAACACGAGCGTTGAGTTAAAATAAGATTCTCAACTACTTTGTTACTGTTTTACTTATCTCATTTTTTAAATGTAAGTGTTTAAATAGTTTGCTCTTTCTACTCTTGTGTTTAACGTTAATGACATTATGCTGCATGGAAAGCACTCTGAGCTGCATTTTGTGTACATGAAACCACATAAATATATTTTGTTAATATTATTTTAGTTTTAACTGAAAATCTCAGCATTACTGTTGCTCATGTTGTACTGTTGCATAACAGTCTTATTTGAAATATCATATTTTAGGGCGGAGAAAACACTCCAGAGTTTCATCATTGAGCTCTCTTTCAGCTGATGGTTATTGCAATCAAACCAAACTAAACATCAAGTAATTTTACTTAGTTTATATATTTGATCACAGAGCTAAGCGACTGTCCTCTCCACTAAACCCAGCAGATGACTAGCACCACTCTGTAGCCCCCTGCTATTAATCATATGTGCAAATTACACTTAATCACTCGTCATTTAGGTCATCTTCAAATGGAGCCGCATGCTAGCCATCTAAACACATTACATCGTGACACTGCAATTATGTGTTATTTAGGAAGAGAAGGTATAATAGCTGCCTCTCTTTGTGGGGACATCTCTCTTAGCTTCTTATGATCTTTACTGTGGAATACACACTCTGTGTACAGACCGACTGATCTCCAAGACTTTTGTTTGGGAGACAAATTCTACTTTTGCAACAAGTAACAGAATGTAATCCTAATACACTAGTCAGGGGAAATTTAAGGAAAGAAAGCTTTTGATAGTCATGAAAAGGAAAAACAGCTGTTCCATTGGTCCACGAGATGTGTACCTCAGTGTCTCTGGAGTAGCTCCAGTATGTATTTGGAGAATTATAAATTCTTAAGTGGTATTCCCATTAACCCATCTATTTTCCCCATTGCTGGTCATTTTTTTCACCTGGACTGATCAGGGAGAGTCACGATCAGTAATTTAGACCTGTGTAACAACCAACAACCTTCATTAGGTGACTCAAATGCGTGCGTGCGTGCGAGCGTGCGTGCGTGCACAGACACTGTAAGTGGTCAGTGTTCAGGGGACCAATTTGCCTTATTCAAGGTGCCCCTGATTTATTCTACCTTGTGACTGTCTTCATAACTGACCTATTATCCCGATATTTATCTTATCTTACCTTCATCCCTTTTCTTTTTTAAATGTGACATATCTTCTGTTTACATGTATTCCCACTTCAGCATCTAACAGTTTTGTCAGTCTAATGAAGCATAGTACAAGACTATCTAATGCTACTCTTTCATTCACAGTTCTCTTCTCCCTCTTTAAAGCTGGAGTGCAGGACTTTTATATAAAAATGAACATATGTTACATTCAAACCCTTACCAAACGAGTTCACAAAATGCTGATTGAGCCAGGTAAATTTCCCCATACTCGCAGTAAATCTGGTGTCTGTGGCGACGTTCCTGCACTGGCACATACTGATTGGTTTGCTAGAGCTGAATGGTGAAAGGGCAGCGACTGTAGCGACAGCAGCAGCTCGGTATGGCAGAGCCTATACTGGATGTCACTGTGTCGACAGTGTGTAATTACTCTCACTGTCAGAAAAGGGAAATTTTGCTGTGCAGGTTCAAGTTAAATTAATCAGATTTTTCCACAATCTCCACCAGCCAATCATGTCATTGCTGTCAAACTTTACATCTATTCTCCTCTCTGCACACCGTTTTATTTGAGTGAATTCTGAGTGTGAATTTTATGCTCTGACAAACTCGGACAATCGGACAGGTTCAAAAAATCATCTCAGTCCCACCTCATGTTCTCCACCCTGAGTGTCAGCTTTTCCTCCTCTAAGCAGGTACCACCACTTCAAACATTCCTTTGTCCCCCTGTCCATTAAAGTCTTTGACACTACCTAGGCTGAAATATGTGTATGCTGTAGCTGTCCTTCCTGTTGTAGATCACTGTTATATATTGTACTATGTGTGCTATAATTAGATTTGATTATGAAAGGAATCTTTATAGTAACAAAATGTGTGAGATAATATCCATTAAAGCAGATCGCTATATGAAACTGTCTTTAGTGTGTTTGTGTCGCACTCACTCCAGTGTCTAGATGCCCAGATGAGCCTCGGTTTCAGGCTCAGAGCTAATTTAACCAAACAGCATCCTCTGCTGGTTGCTGGTCATATGTCTGTAGAGCTGAACATGAACATACCAGTTGGTTTCCCATTCTATTGTTTCCAGTTGTTGCGTGTATTCTATTCTATTCTATTCTATTCTGATCTCTGGTCTTTGGTCTGGTGAGGACTGTACAATTTGCTATAGTCTTTGATGCTCTCCCTTCTGGAGTTATTATGATTTTCAAAGATACTTGTATACCTAATTTGCTGCCTCCTCTTGAGCCTGCAGAAACTATGATATGAAAAATTTGTTTTAACCATACGGTCTCTAAAAACAATAAAAATATCAGCACTCTGTTCAAAAAGACTTTGTAGCAGTACCGACTGCTTGTGCATTCTGGAACTCATATGTTGGAGATATATGCTGGAAGGAAGTGTGGACTCTCTCACAAATATATGTTGGTGAATAAAGTAAGGGAAATTTCCTTTAAGATTTTGCATCGTTTCTACCCTGTAAAATCCTTTCTGGTGAAATTAAAAAAAGATATTGACATTCCTTCTGTGATCTTCATGTAGAAACTATAGCCCATTTATTCTGGCTTTGTACTTACACCAAGAAACTATGGAAATATGCATATAAATGTATTATTATTTCTTTCTTTATGTATTTTTCATATTTTCCATGCTATGTTTTCATTCCCTGGTGAGTTACCCTACCTGTGCCTACCACTTCCTGTCACCTATGCCCCTTTTGTATAACCCAGTGTCCAACATACTAATACAAAATATATCTAAACAAAATAATACACTGAACAAAATTATAAACGCAGCACTTTTGTTTTTGCTCCCATTCATCATGAGCGGAACTCAAAGATTGAAGAATTTCTCTATGTACACAAAAAGGCCTATTTTAATGACACTTGCTGGCTCTGAGTGAGGCTGTCAGGGCGGTTTTAAGTTTTCACAATCATTGCTTTAAATCATAATTTGTTCCACAGACTGCAGACTGTCCTGTTATAACCACATGTATAACACGCTTACCTCCACTCCAGTCCTGTAGGTGGCGGTAATGCATCTAAACATTGCCAGGTCGCCGCCAGTTTGACCCTTTGAGCTTGCCGTCGTCGCCACAGGAAGTCAGTTTCCTCTTTTGCAGAAAGCTAACGCTACAATTATAACGTTCCCCTGCTTCATACTGACACACTGAATTTATTTATATTTATGACAGACTTGAAAAAGCAACGTTTAAGCGTTGTTTGTGATAGTATCGAGGCATTTGTAGCCAGTTAGGATTACGATTGTAGCGTTGTGAAAGCAACAATAAGCTAAGGTAGTAATTGCAACAACCTTTTTATTTATCTAAGTTACCAACGTTGGTCTGAAGCCTTTTCTCCAAAATGATGAACTATTCTGACTACGACTCTGATGGATACTCCTCTAATGAAGATGCAGACTACGTCCCATCAGGTGAGGGCTGGAACTTTCCCCGCCTTGGTTGTGTTAAAAGTAACGCGGGTAACGTTAGTAGCAGTCAGCTAGTAACGTCAGTCTTTACTAACTCGGCCAACGTTACAGGAAATGTCGCATGGACACTTAATGTTAGCGGGTTATATAGCAAATGAATTTGTCACATAACTGTGAATAGCTCACCGACACATGGTAACGCACTAAACGGAGTAAACGAGCACAGCTCCATGATTATGACTGAAGACCCTCCACAAAACACCGAGTCTGCAGCCAACCTTCATGTGCTGCGTTTATCTCAACACCTTTCTGCTGGCCGGTGGTTACCGTTACTTTCCTGTCGTTTGGTGTGTAGCCCTTATTAGACTCGTTTACACAGTGTTTGCTGTTGTTACAAACGGTTCAGGTTAACATCTCCTTCATCAGTTCACTCAGCTAAATTCACATAGAGATCTGCTCAGATTGATACAGTGTTCTGAAGTCATAGCTGAAGGTGGACTTATACTTGACTGCGTTATACATGTTTGCATACATGATGGGGCAGAATGAATATAATCACTATTACCTCCCATCACATCATTATTAACACTAGACTTTACTGCAGAAAAGCCGGTGTCCTTTCCAAGGCTGTTTGTTAAAATATTTTATCTCCATCACAATGACAGATTGCAAGGTCTGTGTTCTTAGCACTTATGATATGAAATATGATTAAAATCCTGGACCGATTAAATCAGTGTAACCGGTGTAACCCCCTGAGCACATAGTGCACGGTCCTGAATCGAACCGCGGACCTGGTGTGAGGGAGGCGGACGCGCTGACGAGGAGGCTTAAGACCCCACATACTTGCTTTTAACTACGCGTACCTGTACCTTAGATGGCTGCCACGCATATCCAGCATTCCTTTGAAGCATCTCCATTAAACACAAATGAAGAAGAATAAGAAGGTTAGCTGCAGAGTTAAAAAAAGGAGATTTATGGCAGTGTGTTTAGAATAAAACTCCTTAAGCTAGTCCGCAATTACCGACATCGTTATGATGTCTCATTAAAATCACAACCTCCTCTAGTGTGGCTGTGTGGATCGTTTGTTTACGTTGTGCATATTTGGAGGTTGTCAAGGAAGATAATCTGGTGTCAGCGAGGGATGATCCGGCTCTGATCTAATCCTCCAGGTACACCTGACTGCAGGCGAGTATGTGACGGTATACAAACGGTATTGTTCACATACTCTACGCGTTGTTAAAAAGCAAGTATATCGGAGGCAGAAGCCCATGGGCACTATCGTCAGTCGCCAGTGCGTCTCTGAAGTGTCACGGAGTGAGGGTTACTCACTCACAGCCTTGCTGGCTTCCGTTACATCAGCATGCTGATATTATCAGCTGATATGGGCTAATTGCAGATCAGCCGGTATCTGTGTTTATAATAGCAGATAAAAGACAATTAAAAGAGAAACAGAGACACATCCTTCACTTGTGTTATGAGTGTCGTAGTTGTAAAATTTGTCCTCCAGAGGGCGCACTGCAACACCCCTGTTAGCAACACACCTGAACAAATCCACCACAGAACATTTAACTTTGGTAACAAAGTTCTATATCTAACAAAGTTTTTTTTCAACTGCATTATGCCATGTTATCTTGGAGAGAGGTCATAACTACACAAAACTAACGTGAGGGACAATCTTTGATTGCGTTCAGTGAAGAACAATTTTGGATTTTAAAATCCTTAAATATCAAAGTCGGTATTGGTCTTAAAAATCCAACATCAGTCGGGCTCTAATGCTAATACAGATATTTAATAATGAATTACATTTATATAGCGCTTTATCATAGATACTCTAAGCACTTCACAGTGAAGTGGGGGAGACTCACCACACATCAGCTTGAGATAGAGCGGCAGGGAAACGTTGAGCCTATTACTATTTCCACTGTTGATAAATATCACAGTTGGTAAATGTATGCAAATTGTTTAGTTGGCTAATCAAAGTAATGGTGAAAGTGTGTGCCACAACATTACTTGAGATCAGACCTTTTACATGTGTCAAACAAAAACCTCAACAGAAGTCTGTAGAAGAACATGATCAGATCATAACATCGCAGTATGATTTTGCTTAAATTCCGTAAACTATAGTTTTGTCTGATGCACTCCCGCTGCATCCTGTTCTCTTTGTCCTCAGATGATAACCTCAGCGAGGATGACATTAATGAGTGCGAAAAGGAAGACCCTCTGCACGGGGATGATGATGTGCCGCATCCTGACAATGTTAGCAAGAAGAAGAGGAAGAAAAAGGACATCAGTATGAGGTGAGAGGAGCGTTTGGATTGCAGTTAAAGGGCTTGACTTGATGATTTACATTTTGTGGGTCAGTTACAGTCAAACCCCAGTTTAAGAACAACTGAGACATTTTTATAATACAAAGGTTGTGAAGGCTGATTCCAACACTGTCTCTGGGGAACAGTGTCCTCAGTATGAGTTGAAACTATTGAATATTGAATGATTGAATGTTAGGCCCCTGTTTTCCTGTTTTGTTCTGAAAGACTGGACAAAAACATGAAAGAAAACTTCACTCTAACTTCTTGCACGAAAAGAATTTTATTAGCAGGCTTGTTCTGCGGCTTTTCCTAAATTCTTGACCCGAAATGTCCGCCATTTTCATCCGACTCTTATTTCAAACATTCTCTGTATGTTTGCATGCTGTTCTATCTTTAATCAATGATGATGACCTTAATTCACATCCTCGAAACAATCTGCAGAAAGAGGAAGAAAGGAGTACTGAAGGTAGACCAGGAAGAGACGTGTGGAGACGGAGCGGAGGAGGGACAGCCTCCACAGGAAGAGGTGGCAAAACCCGCTGAGGTACAGAAGGATGATGATGACAGACAGAAGAAGAAATCAGATGACCTTTGGGCAAGTTTCCTGTCTGATGTTGGATCCAGGCCCAAAGAATCAGCACCCGCCTCACAATCAAATACCACACAGAAGGTAAATATGTTTTGAACCTAAATGTATGACTAATATGGTGTATGTTTTAAAATGGAAACACTTGGAGGGAACCAAACTCAAAACTTGTTAATGGTGCTTTCTGGTGTAAAGTCACAGGATACCATGTTCTAACCCAGATAATAGACGGTACTTAAAATACACCAAAAGGATCATCAGAGCATTAATTATCAAACCTACAGCATTTTCTGTACGTGTCTATATTTTTTTGTCTCTCCCTTAGACTGATTCTTTGGTTTTTATCCTCAGGATGATTCCTCAGTATTGAAGGTTGCACCTTTGAGTACAGAAACAAAAGCCTCAGAACCTGCTAAAGTCACCATCACTAAAGTTTTTGACTTCGCTGGAGAAGAAGTTAGGTATGGCACTGAATCATCCTCACGTTTTGAGACCGTTTGACGCCCTGTAAAAATATTTGTTTTTTATAAATCACAAAAAAGTTTTTGGAAGAAGGCAAACACAAAGGTCACACACAGAACATCCTTTTATTTGTTAAAAATGAAATCAGAGCTTTTAGACACACTGTTAAAGCTAGGGCAGGCAACGTTGGAGAACTAGTAATGAGACAGAACGCCCCGACCCCCATCATTTGAACCCACTGAAATGACCGGCCGTGTTTATTACAGTCCTGCCACAGATACTGGATGTTTGATTCATTGATTGCTGTCGAGATGTAAAGAGATTATAATAAAAAGCGCAGTTCTGAAATAAACTGCCTGCCCTAGCTTTAAGTTGCAACTTAACTGAAATATAGTGTAGCAAATAAATTAGATTAAACTTCCTGACATCCTGCTGATGTAATACTTCTTTGTCCATTCAGTGCAGTCTCCACACGCCGCAGCATAAACGGATAACTTTAATCCATGCAGGGCCCTGATCTTTGGACATGGATATCTGTGTGATCCAGATATTAGGGCTGTAAGGGTTCTGAAACAGAGACAGACACCGCGACAAACTTCCACGGTCTCGTATCGCGGATTCGATGGACAGAACCGTGACACACCCACTCCCCGGGCTGTTGGGCTCTCATTAAGCTTAACTGTGGCGGCCGCAGCTGTGCTGGGGCAGGGTGGCGGTGTAAAACGGATTTGTATTTGATATTTCATTTTCAAAGTCTTAATCTGCTGTACATTGGACAGTATTCAAATGCAATAAGTGGAACATCCCCCCAGCTCTACCTAACGAGCTGGGTGCACATAGGAGACATTTGCCTCAGGCCTTTCTGCCAGAAAGCCTTTAAGAAGTCAGGTGACGTAGCATAAAGTGTGACACAGTCAGCGTAGGGATGAGGTTGGATGGATGGATCTAACAGAAACACAATATTTTCACCATGGGGGCCGCTGTTTGTGTCCCACAGGCTGGATGAATAACAGTGTGCTGGCAGATTTCTTTTGGGCTCTCTGGGCTGGAGTCATAATATGAGTTTAGTTTTATGGCTCTCTACAAATTCTCAAGTTGGGTTTGTACAGTCATTTAACCTCTTAACATGTTCAGCCGATCAGAGTTGATAAATATGGATCATAACTGCCCCAGAATCATTAGGTGGATATCTTAATCATCATGATCAGAACCTGATGTGTGTCTAGAACTCTCCAACGAGGGTTAAAATCAAGGGCAACTGGACTTGGTTGAAGATACTGGAAGACGTTTCGTCCCTCATCCAAAGGACTTCTTCAGTTCTGACTGACTGGCAGGGAAACTCAGCTATTTAACCTCTATTTAACCTGTCCTTTCATCACTTCCCAGGAAACTCAACAAACGTAACCTATTGGCCTCAGGTGAAGATACCAACGATGGTCGTTCAGTCTTGGCCACAGGTAGTCTTAACGACTGTAACGACTGTCGTCACAGCAACAAGGAACACTAACGAACCAGCGGTATCGATGACCCGGGGCAACGACCCCACTGAGGTTAAATAGCTGAGTTTCCCTGCCAGTCAGTCAGAACTGAAGAAGTCCTTTGGATGAGGGACGAAACGTCTTCCAGTATCTTCAACCAAGTCCAGTTGCCCTTCATTTTAACCCTCGTTGGATAACTATGACCTGGATGACTGAGAATCTTCATAGACATCTAGAACTCTCATCAGTTAAAGGGGCTATATGTAGTTTTTCAATGAAACATTAGAGCCTCACTGTCAGCAGGCTCTAACGTCACTCATAAATAAGGCCTGTTTTTTCTGTTGGATCAGCCATTATTCTGTTTTAATGTGAAGGAACCGGGTCGGGTTCTCTGCGTGCGACAACAACACAGCTAATGATATGCAGTCCACTAACACCACAAAACAACCGGCTCCCAGCTCCTAACGCCGACTAATTGCTAATTTTATCTGGTACGAAATACTACAGTTATCCTGTGTACCACTGGTATTATGTTGTGTTAAGTGTTAATTTACCGCTAAAAAGCAAACATGGAGCGTTTTTTTTTTATACTAGCCTATAGCGATGCAGCCAGCTACTTCAGCACAGATCCACTGTTGTTTGCTTCATAACGTTCAGTATAGATTTATTGTGGTTTTACTGATACTCTGGTAGACAGCTTCTCCACCTCTCAGTCGCCCACATAATCTACAATAATGCAACAAAACAAAGTGGAAGACTCATTCGCTACAGTAATGTTACTTACTGTGATAAAGTGTGACAATCTCATTATAATATTCAGTCCAGCTCACTAACGGTTTCATTATCATCCAGTACATGTAGCTGTGCTGACATTGCTGAGCCTCCGGTGACAATGCTCAGATAGTAAAGATAGTTACTGAAAAGCAGCAGGCGAGCTAATGGATATGTGTCACGTCTGCTAAATGCAGTCAGTGTACCGTTATCATGTAATGAGCATGGATTAGTTGAACCTCGAGCTCATAAATATAAAACGCTGCAGTGGGAGTTGACCTGAGTTTCCAGCACGTTGTGTAATACTGTCTCCTGGTGTTTTGGTCGCTGAAAACATACATACATATTACTCCTTTTAAAATAATTTAAACACACACAAAAAAGCAGAAGTTTTTATTGTCTTTTGATATTCTCACAATAATCATCTCTTTAGACTGTGCTTAGCCTCTTATCTCTGGTGAGATTTGAAACCAGCATTAGTTCTCATGTAGTAAACAGTGTGACAGAAAGTAGATCAGTTCTTTTTTAATATGATTATGTTTACATGCACACAAGCATCCCAGCGTTGAGTCTTCTTATGGTAATATCTGTGACACAGCATTTTCATGGAACGTGGAGAAACCTGGTTATCCAGCTCCCTGTAGACATGATTCTAACAGTGTCCAGGTTTCTGATAGTGAGGGCTTGTCCTGTGGTGGCGAATGATGAGTGTCTTCTAGCCTAAATGGCTGCAATTTAGGAATTACATTTGTAATCAGTGGAATCAGCATAGTGCAGATTTGCAGTACATTATGTAGATCCATGTCTTTCATTTTTCAAAATCAGGATTTCAAAGTCATTTCTGTAGCGACTGACTTACCTCAGCAGCTGGGACTGGACCCAGTGTAGTTATTTTATCAGAGCGTTCATAGCTTGTCTTGACCTTGCCTGTAGTGCCACCATCAGGTCATGTGTCCTTATTGTGTCCTGATTTTTGGTACGCTCATTCATTTTCCCACATGAATGAGTTCCTATACTTTAATGCCCTCATGGCCTTTCCTCTAGCACCACCCTCAGGAGGTTTACAATCAAAGACCGGAAACCAGGAACATGTTTGAACCTTTAGGCCAGACTATGACAATTGATCCTGCAGTGTAATCAATAATCCTGTGCCTTAAATATATATAGCTGATAATGTGAGCAGCTCAGTGAGCCCCTGAGACAGACTCACGATTAATTATGACAGCTCATGACATTTCTTCAATAGGAGCCACACACACAGCGAAGTGTTTCCCATAAAAACCGTGTAATTATAACTGTATATCACACAGGCGGCCACGCCCCAGCAGCCAGACAAGATGCTAGTTATGTGGAGCAAGGAATGTCCCATCCTAAACGTTTACATCTGAACCAGATATGATCCTGCGTATAATTCATGGGACTGATTATGCATGAAGCTGTGTGCTCTGTAATTACAGCAGCATAAGATTAGTACATGGATGATGGCTGTAACTGTCCCCAGAGCCCCAACAAATGCTGCCGGCTCTAATGTGTGATGTGCACACTGTAGACAGCTATTGGCTCCAAATAGTACTATAAATATAGTAGTATTTTGTATTTATAATAATATGCGGATGTCCATCACCTGAGCTTGCTGTTGCCTTTGTGTGAATGTGTGTTTAAGTTTCTTCTCCTTGGAACTTGGATATCTTTCTCTTGCCTGATGAGACACGCCCTTTCACAATGTTCTTCCTCATCATCTACGGGGCTGTGCGCTCTGTGTAATTATGGCTGCATATAATTAGCATACATAACAGGGAAAGCTTTTCAGAGCCGCCATGATGGATGCAAGTGGTTGTGCAGTGCTGATGGTCCCAGAGGATGCAGCGATTGTTGCTCACATACAGTAGTTTCCCTATCTAACCTCGCAGTGAAACACAGACAGATGTGTCTCTCCCTGTGTGTGAGTGAGTGAGTGAGTGAGTGAGTGTGTGTGTGTCTCCTTATATAGCATGTGTGTAGAGGGAGAGGCTGGGGTTTAGATGCAGAATGGGCTCAGCAGCTGTATAGATTAGATAGGTGCTAAAAGGATGCCATTTGTGTATTATTATTTATTCATTTGTTAGGGAAAGTGCACATTAATCAACATCTGAATGTTTATTCAGACATTATCCATGAATATAAATATACTTTCAGTGTTTCCTGGTAAACAGATTTTTGGTGAAAGGCTAGTTTCACCACAACCAGCTGTTTCAAACTGCTCTATAGACATACTCTGCACTGTTGCTGTTATTTTTCCACACAGAGTTTAGCACACTGTGTGTCTGTCTTCCTGTCAGGGTGAATCAAGAGGTGTCAGCAGACTCCAGAGAAGCTAAGAGTTATCTGAAGAGCCAGAGCACCAAACCGGAGGAGAATGGTGACGAAGAGAAGAGGTCATCGGCCAGCCAAGCGCATCTTCCTGGCCCCAGGTACCCACACACGTCTTTACATAACATAACATTCAACCCCAACACCAACATATACAGATGAATTCATGATGAATGAATGGATTAGATGCAGTGTTTCTCCTGTGAGCACTGTCTGCCTCTGCTCATTCTTCAAAGGACATCTAAATGAAAGGTGCTGTTATAACAGCAGCGCGGCTCCTTAAATGAATAGGGCAGTATGTAATGTGTGTGGTTGACTGAATGTTTGAGTGTGAGCAGAAAGTGAAAGCGAGGGGAGCAGAGGAAAAGATGAGTAGTAAGTCTGTATGTCAGTCTGGCAGTAAATGTACAGTTTACTGGCTGTCTGTCTGTTATTTCCCAACAGCTGGAATAGTGAAGGGGGTTAGCTCTAGCTAACATCTCCCCTGGGCTTCAGACTCTGGTCTGGAAGCTGAGCAAGAAAGCTTACTGTATTTTAACATTAGTTACATTTATAGGAAGAAACATTAATTAGCCGCATGTCATAACTACCTACTTGTCCAGTGTTACGAACACCAGTCACAAGTTAAGACTAAGACTAGCAGTCATCTTATGTGCATGTGTTCTCGCACAGACTTCACTCAGTAAATAAACTGGTAGGCTATGAACTTACGTTACAAGTCACGGAGGATATTTTACGCACGGACCAGGTAAAGCAACATTGAACACACAGGGTGCAGATGTTGGTTTCAGTTGTTTGATAGGCTGCGTCATTAATAAGCCAACATGCTGCTCACCTGCTGCCGTGATAACGGATCGCAGGTGGAAATATACAATAATAAGAATGTTAGTGGTCATTAAAACCTGCTTTCACAGGGTGGTATAATGTGAAAATTTGAGATTTTGTTGCTGGGGGTGCAGGTTTTTACAATGACGATGCTGGCTCAACGTCTGTCTGTCAGCCGTGGACGATGGCATCGTCTATCAGCATAACCCTAATGTCTAATGACCCTGAGGTCATATTAACAGGGTTTCCCTGTCGTTATAAGGTTTATGTGGTGAGGCCCAAAACAGCTGGGGGGCTGTGCCATGAATTTAAAATCACTGTGGAGAACTAACTAAATGTCTTCCTCCAGTAGACTTCTTCTGATATGTTGGCTAACTAATGAATGGCACTGCAAGTGGTCTTGGTGACAGGACCTTCACCACAAAGGAGCTCCAGCGTTGCCTGAGGCATCACATTTGAAGTAATAGTGGTAGAAACTTTAAAGAGATGTGGATATTTGTTGTCTTGTCGAGTAGACTAATCGAAATTAGACTCTATTCACCCTGCACTGTATTTTAGCAATCCTAGGTGTGTGGCAGTTCATTTTGTATTTGAGCTTTCATTTAGACATCAGTGGACTGAATTTCCCCATTACTGTAGGCACTGTGTGTGTGTGCGCACGCGCTTTTCCTTTCCTCCTGTTTTAATACCTTTTGTTGCCATGGCAATAAGTCATCTGGGGATGTGCACATCTTCCCTCCAAAATCCCAGACAGGAAACAGGAAATCATCTTCCAGCAGACAGGAAGTGCAGTGTCTCCAAAAGCTATAAGTTATTTTCCTATTTATCTCAGTTGTGTGTCTGTGTCTGTGGGACACCCAGCAAACAGGAAAGGGCCATCAGCACCACTCCCTCGTTAACCTTGTGTGAGGTTAGTGTTTGTTTGTTGCAGATTGGGATGATAGCACGGCTCTTATGTAACATGGCAGCAGCAGCAGTGTGTGTTACTGCAGGACGGCAGCTTTCTGTGCAGAGTTTTGCTGTGGAATGTGAAAATGTAGAAAACAGAGGAGCAGGTCCTCCTTCAAGTGTTCCAGAATGTGTTTATTAAAATGAAATATTGAGTGGAGCGTCTTTTTAATGTTGTGGTGTTAAATTGTAAAATGATGTCAGCCTCTCATTCCCAGTGAAGTTTTAACAGGGTGCCTGTAGGGCCTTATAAAGGCTTGAATGCAGTTTTATTCAGTACAAGGAGCAACTTTTATTTCATTACACAACTTTGTATGATGAAATGAAAATTTGTAGTCTCTTCATGCTACACACATAGAACTAAAACTTTGCTCCGGTGAACAGGTGACAAGCGCTCTGCGACTAAACGGCAGCGCTCTATGGAGAGTAACCATGGCTCTCATTTGATTACATTACAATACTGTGTTTGCAAACCACATTATTGCACTTTTGTGTATATAGCAGTACATTTAAATTAAAAGTGGCAATATACTACTTTCGAATTCATTATCTGAGTCTGACATTTGGGAAACAGAGTCCATCATGACTGCGTTGGAGCACCAAGCATCATCGACGTAAACGTAAAGTCCGCCTCCTCTCATCTTGCCAGAGTCTTGTGCTCTGACAGCTTGGAACATGCTCTGCAGGTCTCTGTAGATACGTGTGCACAACGGTCTCTGACTTCTGTTGCTTAGCCAACCTGAGTCCCATTTTGTCGAGACTGGACTTTTAGGAGCAGCCCTAAGTCCTTGGCGAGCATGGTACCTATACCGGCTCTCTTTCCTTTCCTCTGAGAGGCCACCACACTTGCAGTGGTGCATCGTCTGGTGGATCTGTCTAAAGTCCAAAAACCCAGCTTCCTTCCCCAGTGACTGTATTTCTGTCATAGGTAAACGTGTTTCAGCAATAAGACTGAAAAATGCTGATGAAAAACAAAAGTATAGTGAAGTTTGAAGGCGCTATCAGCTGCTGCATCTACATGTGCTGATGTTGCCATAAAAAACTTAAATGTATTATTGAATAAAAAAAAACATTTTTGCAGATTTCTTTTACAACAGAATCAGGACCACCAGGTGCACATTTTAGACAGAGAAGATGGATGGTTTGAAAGAGGTGTCAAGGAAGCATCTACACCAGGGTTGAGAAGCCGTCATTGAACAGGGGAGGGGGTCTACGCCACCACTTATCCCCCACTTACATGCTGTCCTTTCATCACTTCCCAGGAAAC